CTAGCCCCAGCCTTGTGTATGATGCATGAATGTGGGAAATGTTATGTCATGATATTCCCTAATCCCCTACTGTGTGACGTATGCATTGCGTCAGCATGTGTTTCCCACCTTCGGAGGAAGACGAGGATTAGCTGGCGAGCGGAGCAGACGTCACTCGATCGCTCGTATACCATTATCATTAATTGTAATCCTAATATAATCTATATTTGTAAATAGTAATAAATGTGTGTTATCAACTATGGTCGTTGCCTTTCCCCACATTAAGACATATTAGATGAATCTTTTAAATTGTCAGTTTTCAATTTCTTTATTAAGAAAAAATTCCTTTCTATGATGCCTGTCCATGTGATAAGATTATAGGCATTTATATATATATATATATATATTCCATGCTTGTGTCTATTGATAAGTAGAGAAAATAAAGGGAAGATAAACATGTTAAGAAAAAGATTCTAGTATCAGAAGTAAAACATTCAAATATTATGTTTTCATTGTTCATCCAGACATTCTCCAAAAAGTAAGAAATTCATTGCAAACTTTCCGTAAAATACATCCATTATGTGTTGATACCATGGAGACATTTTTCATTTTGTCACATATTTCTTGAATCTTCTAGAATCGTGGGTCTATAAATCTTGCCTTCTAAACTTTCCAAGCTGCAATGTCTAAAATCCTAGAGAAAAATTATCCCTACCAATTCTGTAACAGCAAAAAGCTAGAAATATTTTGGAAAAAAAAAAAAAAAAAAAAAAGAAGGGAAAAAGTGTTAAATTAATTTTATAGAGAAAACTGATGCATATTCTGAGACATGAGAGAAACTCTTACTATGAAAGACTGACATCAGAAAAAATCTTACAATGATAAAATTAAAAAGAAAACATTATTAATTAATTACATAACTAATTTTGCTTTTGCTAAGAGCTGCTTCGTAAATTGTGCTTTATAACATTATACCTTGTTTATTTTTCAGATTCAAAATATTGTATAATAAGTTCCCAAAATGAAACTTTATAATATGACATTGAAAAATAAAAATGTTTTATTTTAATTTTATTTCTTTAATATAATTTCAATATATTACCATTATTTTAATGATATTTATCCATGTTATTTTTATTTATTTATTTATTTATTTATTTTTTTTTTGTCGAAAAATTCTCACATCTCGGAATTAAAAATTTTCTATAGAAACTGATCTTAAAATCGCCAAAATGTTCATATGTCGCCAAATTTAGAACCGTTTAATAAAAGAAGTCACATCCCCACAAGAGAAAAGTTGTTTAAGAGCTCTTTATTAGAAAAAAATGAATTTAAAAATGCTTATGTTTCACTTCTTGCTTAGAAACTCAAGTATCCCATCATTTATGTTAGAAATAGAAACAAATTATAACCCATGAACCCATTCAAAAGATAACCATATCTGTCAGTGAATCGCCAAGAATATCCCTCCAAAATGCTAATTCACATTCAAAATGGCAGTTGTAAAAACAGAAAAAAGTTTCAGATGATTAAAATTCAGAACCTTCTGCTGATTTTGGTGAAAATTAAGGACTTTCAAAGAGCAAAAATTGATTCCAAAAAATCTAAGGACTCTCAAGGATTGTACGAACCCTGTAGCATCGTGGTGATTAACAATCATACTTCCTAAAGTTTTTTTTAACTTAAGTCACTTGGAGCTGTTGCCTCGGTAGCAGACTTTGATACTTTTTGAAAATTTGAGGAATTTGAAGCTGATTATACAAAGGGTATTTGAATTGTACCCTGCAGAATTTTTTTTTTTTTTTTTTGTAAAAAAAATTATTTTTCTTTAATTTATAATATATATATATTCAATTTATAACTATATTTATAATACACACATATGTGCGTTTATAAATATATATTAATATATTAGTGCGTGTATTTCTAAGCCATATGAAAAGTACTTAAACAATTAAAAAACAATGCTAAAATACTTTTTAAGGTGTTCTGCAGATGAGAAAAGCAAGAATCAATGGACAATTAAAACATCATTGTCGATATGTCAGATACATTCCTGTGGTATTTATGTGACATATATTTTTTTAATTAAAAACCGAATTGCTACATATACTAATTCAGAATTTAGAGCATAGTATTTACAATTTATTTCAATAACTTTAATTTACATATTGAAATGTAAAACATAAGGAAAAATAATTTATTGCACAAAAACTTAAAATAACTCACAAAATACTAACAGAATGAAAATATAATATATATATATACTCATTTTTTCATTTACATATCTCTGTACAGAACAATGATTTTACAGCAAGCCTGAGGGAAAGTGGAAGTAACTGATAATGTAAAACCACAAACATTTCTTGGTTTCCAAATTTTGTATGTTTATATATCAAATATGATAATGAAACATGCCTATCACAAAAGATAGAATTAAAAAAGTAAAAAACATAAAACCCTAAACTTAGTATAAAAATTAAATATGGATGAAAGGTTTGCCTGCAACCTTTAAAATGACTGTATAATCACATTAAGCAATGTTAATTTAATTTCTAAGATAAAAAGTATTTTATAACATCTCACTGGATTTTTTTCAAGTCATTATTCAAGATACTCTAATGCATGAAATGTATAACAGGGTTGCCACTCAAACAGGAGAATGAAATTCCCTGACTTTTCCAGGTTTTCCAGGTATGTTTCGAGAAAATTCCAGTCTATCCGCGTAATGTACGTTGGCTGGCTAAGAGTAAATTAATTATGTTATTACTTGTATATGTAGGAAATTCACTTAATTATTCATAAATCCAATCAGAGGACATTTCTTCATTATTCTTGGTACACTTTGTTTGATATTTTTGTTACTTTTCTTAAAAACTTAGTAATTAAGATATATACATTGGATACAACTGTACGTTTATTATTATTACTCATGATCATCCCCTTCACACGAGGCTAATCCGGTTCTTATAATCACAATGCAATGCTAAAAGTTAGGTTAGATATTAGGTAATTTAATTTGTGTGAGGTGTATCTTAAAGGCACCTTAACTTAAACACAATATAATTATAATAGGAGTTGTTTTCCACTGAAGATTGAGATTAGAATCTGCCCAATCTGGATAAAATAAGGCTTTTTTTTTTTTTTTTTGCAGACATTCTGCAACTAAACGAAAGAAGAAATCTATTTAATGATATTTTTTTACTAATGAGGTATTTTATACGTATTCGCAGCATACAAAAGGAAAAATATGTGCATTAAATTTCGTGATGTCATCATACTGCTAGAATTAATTTCAGGATTATGCCAGAGAAAATTCCTGAATTTGGAATATTATTTACTAATGATACATAATTAGAGGAAGAAGCAACATTAAATGATATGATAACATAAAAATAAAGAAAATTACTAAAATTTAATTAGAATAATCAACGATATTTAGCGATTAGTTTATTAATGGTTATCCTAGATGATTGATTACTATTTTTTATTTTACTGCAAATGACAAGGTATTTATTAAAAAGAAAGAAAAGAAAAAAAAAAAAAAAATTTTGCGGTAAAATCCTATATACGATACGGGCCTTCGATGACTTTGAAATTGTCACCAAAGAACGTTCTTTGACAAAAAAGAAAACCGCGAAAATCTTTTTAAAATATTGCGAAAATCCAGAAGAAACGTTTTATCAAAGAATGTTTTTTCTGGATTTTTCGCATAATTTAAAACAGATTTTCGTAGATTTCCCCCCCCCCCTCAAATACTAATCCATGAATTAATTACTTGCGCCAAAAATATTTTCTTTTCCTTGAGAGTTTAAAGAATTTTAACGATTTCATTTTATGAACTCTTGATAACGTGACCTCGACTTCGACACCGGTTTCGAGCTTTGCGACAGATATATCGTGCATGCACAGCTGTTCCCGCTATGATGGAACCGAGCCACGTCTGTTGCAGAGAGGTTTCCTTCTTACAATACATATTTTAATTCTAACCTTCGGTACCTATATTAGGATTAAACCTTTTGGTTTTATACGAGAAAGGTAATTTCTTTAGTTCATCACGCACATGCGTTCCGAGGTTACTGGAAACCAAAAGTTGCGGGAAACTTGCTTGCCTTTCTAAAAAGACAATCAAATTGGCTGCGAAATGCCTCTATGCCAGCTGCCGAATGACACACACGTGAAACAATTCACCAAAAGTTATCTCTTCCAACTTGGCGCAAAACTCGCCTTTTTTGGCGGGATCGTTGTATAATTCCCTCACTTTTGCAGATTTTGAAAAAACACTTAAATTCATGACTTTCCCTGATTTCTTGGTCAATTTCGAATTCCGACTTTTTCGGTTTTCCCGGTAGCGTGGAACCCTGGTATAAGTATAAAAATTTTGATATATGTTTCAATTTGGATGTAAAAAAGGGGGGAAAATAAGATTTTTAATATTTCATATAAAATTAACAAGTGTTCTCAAAATATCTTAATACAGCAATAACATTTTACTGTTCATAGACGACAGCAATAACAAAAAGATTAATATATCTAAAATTACAAATTGCGATTACTCCAAAACTGAATAAACAAAAATATTTATAGCAGAAGTAATTTAAAACAGATATGAGTTCGTGATAAAAATTTTATGAATCTGCAAATAAAGTTAATTTTTAATTATAATTTTTATAACAGACTGAAAGCATTTGCTACAAAAACTATTTGAGATATTACTTACTAAAATTAATGAGATATTTCACAAATGCAATTATTCAAGGAAAGTTAACATTAATAAAAAAAATTAAAGAGTTTTTTAATATATGAATATTGGTTAGTTCAGTCTTCATATTTTAGGTAATAAATCTTCTATGCATTAAGAGTTTCAATGAATAATGTAATATAGTAACAAAACAAATTTTTAACAATCATAACTTCAAAATAATCAACAGTGATTAATAATATCTAACAAAATTAAATATGTCATGGTTGATCTTAATACTACATGGCAACTATAATTTACAAAAACAATTATACTCCTGAGTCACATACAGTCTGTAACTAAAAAAGAATGACTGCTTTTAAACTCAACTCATTTATTAAAAGATACTTGTACTAGAAATATGGAAGCTTTAAAGCTTTATTTAATCAATTTGTTTTTTATCTTTTTTTTTTTCATTTTAGTTTAATCTCTTTAATAATCAAAACTTCCCTTATTTCAAAAGACATATTTAGTTTAATATGATTAATGCATGCATTTAAAATAAATGTAGATATAAAAGTTTCCTAAATTTAGGAACTTTTATATAGTAGAAAAATTTGTTTTGGCACACCATCACACATAAACAAAATAAAGTATGAATAAAATACAAATAAAATAATACTTCATTAAACTAAAAGCACACAAATAATTTTAGGAACTTTAGGTAAATAAAAAATCTTTGCGATAGTCAAAAGTAACAAATTAAGAAAAATCACAGAGCAAAATTTTTAATGGAATGCATATTAATTATTTGCACTTTCAATTAACAGTTGTACTGTCATACAAATGCAACAAGTACTTGCCTTGAAGGCATAATACTAGAATTTAAGAGTGCAAAGGCTTAAAAAGTCAACACCAATCTTTTTAAATGAGGGGGGAAAATAGATTTTTTTTAAATAAACTAGATAATAAATTAATGTTCAATACATTAAACTCTTGTATTTCCAACACATTTTACTTTAAAATCAATTTTCAGCAAATATATGAAAAGACTGGAATCATGGTTGACAATGAGCATTTGAAATTCATATCCCAAGAACAAACATATCGGTTAATATATTTTATGTACAAAATCACAGTTTTCTTCCTGTTAAAAAAGTTCTGGATGATTATCTTATAATGGACCTTATAAAAAATAAGCTAAAGCTGTCATTACTGATTTTGCCTAATAATTAGTGGCTTGGCTTGCACCTGGGGTCGATCAGGAATTCGAGGTGGGATGAGAGGTACAGGTCGCCTAAGAAAACATGACAATAATCTTAACAATTATGAAAACTTATTCTTAGAAAATAATCTATTAATGAACAATCAGGCTGAGAGTTTAGTAGATGTATTCATTTATTACAGTTTCAATAAAGTATTTAAAAAATTACTTTCATAAAACTGAGAGAAATTTTAAAATATTGGGAGATTTCAGTATGGAACTTCAAACACAGTTCTGTATGGAACAATGTAAATTGTAATGTTACATACTATGTTGATTTCATTTCTGTAAACTCTAAGCCTGCTTAACTTTAACAAAATAAAATTAATACACTAAATCCTACAAAGTAGAACATACAGCAATAATCCTAAGTAATAAAATTACAAGAGGCAATACATATAAGCACCTTTATCTTTCAAAAATATATTCTTATATTTTAAAAAAGTTTATATTTTCCTCAAAAGTAAAATTTTTGTATTTCATTAGTAAGTAATAATTTCAATCCCATGAATACTTTCATGTGATTTAGACAGATGACTGACTATCCAGACTGTTAATATTTTTATGCATTATAAATTTTCATTCAATAGTTTAATAAAATGTTTTCATAAATCAAAAACTGCAGTTGATTTTATTCATGCAAACAAAATTATTGCAGTTATTATTCAAAAGAAAAATGTCATTTAAAACTGAAACCAAATATTCAAAGTAAGCCCTATACTTATAATTTATTATGGCATTAAATAACTCATTAAGTGAATCTAAATGAGCAACTTGATGTTTACTCCAGTTACTTCCCTTAAACAGAACAGTATGCATAGGAAAAAACAACTTATTTCACATGTGAAACTGCAACATCATGTATTAAACCATAGCTACTAATTAAATTTAAGCAGTTTAGGAATTTATATAATTACAGCTTAAGTCAGTTTAATGTTTATACACTGAAACTGTTTTGTGTCTCACAATTCAAATGCAAAAATTTACAGTCCTAATTTTTTATGATAGAATGTCATTGATACTTATATATGCCACAGTGAATGCACATAATTACATAATAAAAAGAATGACAAGTTCTATGTTCAGTGGTTTTCAAAAATAAAAATGATAAATTATAACATACTTAGATTATAAGAATATTACTTTCAAGACAATCTAAAAAAATTATATTAGAAAAACTTAAGAGTTTGGGAGAAAATAAATACTTGTCAATAACCTTTGTACTCTTCATTCATTAAATCTTCTGAAAAATTCACAATTCACAAAGACAACTAAAACGAACTACTTTCATATCTAACATATACAAGTAAATGTCAGAAATTTGCACATCGATATTTCTATATATATTTATATATGTATGTTATATAGTATATGTGTGTATAGTTCTTCATTTATAAATCTATACAATAATTCCTATAATCTTGTTATTCCTGAAAAGAGTTCATTAATTCTTTACTTATTTCATGATTTCAGAATGTAATACACTCACCTACAGAATAACTAGAATACAATAATTCATTATATCACACATTTTAAATGACATCAAGCACAGTGCAAATACACCAAAATGTTATTAAAAAAAGCCCAACAGAAAAGTTCTGCTGATTTTATCTACGCTAAATTTTGAATTACTTAAAGCCTTTCAGATCTTCTTTCACAGAATATTTAATGCCAAAGATGTTCTTAAACAATATGATTTCAATTAAAAAGATGATATAAACACAAGTAACATAAGTCAACTGTACATAAAAATTAATCAGTATTGAAAATTGATGACTGAAAAATACATGCGAGATTTATTAAAAAAATTTTAGTCTTAGTCTTAAAAATTACAAAATTAACGATATGTTTAGTAGTTGCTAACCACCAACTCCTTTTCGTAACCTTTGACATAGCACACATTTTTTCCTGGTTAAGAAAAATCCTACAAGCAACAATTCTACAGCAGCTAACAGGATATCTCTTAAAATTGTTTAGTAAAAGTACATCCAACAATTCTTTGGTCACACCAGGGCTCTTCGTACTAGAACAAAGCTTTGTTTACATGAAGATGTCAAAATTATACTATTTTCATCTTTGAATTTATTACTAGTAAATTATACCAATACACTAAGTGGTATGATGCCACCTCTCAATAGCCTTACTTATATATTATTTGATGTTCTTAATATATCTTTGAACTAAACTAAAACACTTATATAGTCCCATTTATGAAAGCTGCAAGAGCCCTGTTATGTACTCAAAGCAAGCAAAAGCTGACAAAAGAAAAAGCTACTGGAAGTGCTGAAGGTTTCGGCAGTGGCAGGGGACATCCCACCGAGTGTACCACAAGAAGTCTCTTGTTTAGGTTCGAGGAGGAATAGAAGGTGCATTTCCACTTGGGCTACGACTGCATAGAAGAAAGATTAGAAAGGAAAGATAAGAGAGGTTAGAAGAAAAGAAATTTGAAAACAGATTAGAGTCATGATAAATCCAATAATTTTAAGCACCATAAAAGAAAAAAAAAGAGTGAGAGAAATTTACTTATAATTTTATTAATTTTCAGAGTCAAATCACACATTATACAAAAATTGCTATTCATGTAGCTCAAATACTCAAACATACTAATTAAACCAATACTTATCATAAATTAGATTTATGTGAGACTTGGATATATTACTGGAAATGATATGCATAATGATTAAAAAAATACTCTGAAAATTTATGATACCAGTTCAAAATACACTCTATATACATACACGTTTACTTCTGTGGTACTTTTCATTCTTTCACATATTAAACCAAACAACAGATGATATCTTTACAACTGTTCAATTTTATATAATCTCCCTTAAATATGTTATTGTCCATTATATAGTCTGAAATCATGAGGACATCAAATACCTTGCCTAAAACATTACCAACTCTCATACCAAATCTCTGCTCTATTTTATAAACTTAAGCACATTTTCCTGTTACAAATTCTTATGATATATCATAAATGCTACAGCAATCAAAAACAATAGCAACATATTATTTTATTTTATACAAATATTAAAAAAACAATAACTTTTTATGTTGTACGTATCAAATATAAGAGTTATTAGAAGTACCAAAAGAAGGTTTTCCTCTGTGTCTGTAAACTTTGTTCCTCTAAATGCAGGAAATTAAAGAATACATAAATAATTAGAATCAAAAACATGTGCCAATCACTGAATTTAAAGATACATTTTTCACCATGTTAATTCAGCTACTTTTACACACTTTTGAGGTTAGTATTTCAAACTTTTAAACCCAGATTGATAAATGGATGTATGAGGCCATTCAGAAATACTGCAACTCATATCACACTGATGTCATATAACCTTAAAATTTTGGTCATGTGAATTAGTTTGTGCCCAAAATAATGATATGCAATGAAATATGCAATCAATGTAATCCATTTTTGCAAGAGATGTGTGAAGCATTATCGAATCAAAAGTGATCAAATGGTTTGCAACATGCAAATCAAAACATTACATCATATGATGATAAATCAAGCACTTTGCACAAAGTGAATATGGATGCATTTCTGCAATACAGCATTTGATTTCAGTACATAAGGGATTAAAAAAGATTGTCTATGGCTCCAAAGTATCATTTGGAAGAAACTGCGAAGTGGCAAATCATCGGCCGTTTAAAAACAGTACAGACAATAATGGAAGCAGTGAGATACGTGAATATTTTAAGACAGTGCTATAGAAACATTTTCAAACTCTGAAATTATTGTAAAGAGGCCTGGAAATGGTTGGAAACAAACAACTGCTTTTCATAACAGGAAGTATACTGCTTGCAGTTAAGTTCACAGCATGCATTTAAAATACAGACACCAAAGGAACTATTGTATCATTGGTAAACTATATAAGATGTGTTTAATGAAAAAGGCATTTATGCCAGAAAGTCCAAGATATGTGTTTCACCATCTTAATAACAAAAGAGATACCATTTTAAACAATGCAAAAAACATCAGAGCTGGAGAGAATACCAGTGATCCCGTTCTCTTTACTGATGAGTCAAAGTTTAGTTTCTGATTCTAAACGTGTTTGCTTCTGAAATAAATCAGGAACACGAAATTTTCCTTTGAACAAAGAGGAATATGACCATTTGAGTAATGCAGGTGTGATGGGAGGAAATAATGATCTATAGATGTATGCCCCTACAAATTTTCAACAATGTATCTATGACTGGCCAGAGATACTGGGACAAGGTCTTAGTACCTCATATAAAATTTTTCAGAAGTACATATGGATCTGGCTTTTTATTTACGGGAAAAAAATGCTCACCTACACTGAGTAAACCTCTTTGACAAATTACTTGAAAATGAAGAAATTGAGCAAATACTATGGCAGCAAAATCTCCTCATCTTAGCCTGAAAGAAAGATTAGGGGGCTATTCTGGGAAAGCAATTGCATCTTTCTCCTACACTAAAGCAGGTGCCATGACAACCACATTGCTGGAAGAGTGGAACTTGAATTTCCAAAACTGTAGTTAATGTTATTATTGCCAGCATGAAAATGCATTCTGATATGTGTGTACAAGGCAGGGGAGATCACATTCCATATTGCAATCATAGGCCTTAATTTTATTCTCAGTTATTCTTTTTTGTTGCCGTTTTCTGAACTCTGTAACTATTATTACCATTTTTATAGTTTCATGTTAGAGTTTTATAGCATATGCATTTTTTTTTTTTTTAATTTTTTCTTTGTATTTATGTTCACAGTTAGTTCAAAGTTCCTGTCAAATCCATGATTTCATGCATGTAAAGATAGTTTTGGACACGAGCGTAGATGCTTCGTTTAAAGCAAATCATCATGACTCTTACATAACAACATACAGACAAAGATTATACAATAGAAGCTACAATAGCTAACAAAAGCAGGGATGAAGAAAGAAATATATATATATATTTCTCTCTCTGTATATATAAAGAACATTTATTAAACAGAGAGAAAACAAATGTAATAAAAACTCAAATATACTTTAAAAATTACTGAAAAATTTTAGAATTACATAATATGGTCACATATGTTTAAATAAGATGATTTTAAATTTTTTTTTACAGAAAATGTAAATCTCAGTAGTTCTATATATATCAAGGGTCCCTATCTAACAGATGATTTACTCTCAAATTTATCTAAACAGACAGTTTAAAATAATCACTCAAAATGAATAGCATCAGCTATTTCAGTTGATGCTATTTATTTTGATAACTGTAAATAGTAAAAAATAGTAAATAATTTTTAGATTGAAAAAATGTCAACTTTGTGCTATAATAATATTACAAACTAGGTTTACCAGAATATAATTTAATTTAATAAAACCAGACTATAACATTAATATTTAAGATATTTAAAGTCATTTTTAAAAAAGCTGGTTTTATGCAATCAGTGGCTGGAAAGTAAATAACAAACAAACTTGTTAAGGGCACCCCCTTCCCTCTGTGCGGTTTCCTTGCGACAAAAACGAAAAAGGAATGTCTGAGAAATGCCATAGATATAAGACATGCATGTGTCTGAACTGCATCCCATGTGAAAGCTTTGTCTTTCTTTTCTATAACTGTGCTGATGCTTTACTTTCATTTAACCCAGAAATCTCTGTTTAAGTTTTAAAATAAATATTTAAATGATCACTAGTCTGAATTATTTTCCATCTCGGAAGCTCACTTACAGTACAGCACCATAAATCTCTGCCGCTTTCCTTTCAAAAGAATTTGCATTTAATTTACAGATAATTTTGATGATAATAAAATAACTGACTGTAATAATATGCTTGTCTCTACAACAATCATTAATATATTTGATACATTCACCATATTATTACCTTATTTCTCAAAAATAATCCAATGATTTTATTTCTTGCACATTTTACATTTATTGCAATCAATTATCACACAAAATATTAATTCCATTATTAGATGCAAGTTAGATAATGCTTAATCTCATATGTTCATTTCATTTGTTAAATTTTTCTATCTATTTATTTAAAATTGCGTATAAAATGAAATATACCAAATACAGAAAATACTTTTCTCATTATGTTACTTCCATAAGTTCACACATAAATATTGGACTTCATCACACACAAAATTAAACTTTTTACTTCTTTGTACACAGTAAAGGATATATTGCAATCATGAAAAATTCCAGTTACCATATTTCAACGAAAATATCCATTCTGACCACTATCGAATGCAATTTAACGATGTTTTTGCATCTGCATGTAAGGACTGAATAAAGGACTCTTTTCCCCAAAAAGAATTATAAAACTGACTTAAAATTGATACGACAGAGATTATTTTTTGCGACGTCTATACGTATATACATATGTATCTCACGTAACTCAAAAACGAGTAGTCTCAGAATGTTGAAATTTTGTATATAGGACTGCTATAGCATGTAGATGTACCCTTCCCTTTTTGGTTGCAATCAGCCGCACCAAATATATATATATAAATATACATACTGTTACTTGGCTCAGCGAGCTCTATTTTATTCTTATATGTTGGTAAATCGTGCATTTTTTGCTTTAAAAATGATTATGTTGTTCTTATCTTCCGGTTAAAGTTTTTATGGCTTTAGTTAATCTGCACACAATTTTTGTAGAACTATCAGCAATTTAAAAGTTGTTTAAGTGCAGCTAAGCTAATTTTTTTTACCACAGCAGCCATATTTGTTTACATTTGAAACTTAGCAGAATAGTGAATTTCTTTCTGCACTTTCAGTGCCTTTTTGCCAATTGGGACCACAAGGAAACTTTTAGTTTTGTGCACTGAAAAAATTGTCTTCTTGCCTGCTGCCTGAATTGTTTGTTTTGCACAGAAACTGCAATTTAACTGCAAAAATTGCTCTTTTATTTTTAACAATATTTTGTGTTTTATTTTTTCTATATCTTTCAACTTTTAATGAAAATATTTTGAGTTTTTATGTATTTTTGCCTTGCCGCGAAGTGAGATTTGAATTCATTCAACGAGAAATATATCTCTAATGAAATTTGAGGAAATACGTTTACATGAAGCGCAGGAAAAAATACATATAATTTAATATTTCGTACAAGGAAGTCATGTGTTTTACACATAAGCTTTTTTAATCTATGCCATCAATATGCTAGGAGCAAATAAAATTCAGATATGGTACTTGTTACTTTTAAATATAAATTGGTTATATCAAGCAAACCTGTTTCTATGCAAGCCTTAAGACCATTCATCTTTATCCCCACTTCAATCCAAACTCTTACAAGCACTTCCTTTTAAAACTAGCATGCTAATGGCTGTTAACATTTATAGATGATTTTGTACATCAAATTATAAAGCAACATTATATCTAAACAAACAAACAAAAAAAAAACTGTTTTATTAACAGCTAAAATATTTTACACATCTGCTTATTTTCAAATTAATGACAAAACATATAGACTTTCTTTCTACATTTATTGAATTATAAACTGCATTGATGTTATAAAAAATTATTTTCAGTAAATTCAATACATGATTTCTTCACAAGGGGCAGAAAGCCAAGAAACTGTCCTGCTTAGTCATGGAATTTAAAAAAAAAAAGAAAAAAAGAGAATGCCTAATTTTGGTATCTTCATCCTTTCTTTCAAATTTATCACATAATTAGTCTTTCCAAAATTTAATAAGAAATTAGCTTTAAGTTTAATGTATTACTCTTATTTGGTAAGCACAGACAACCTCAACTACAGTTAATGTTTTCATATAATTAGGTAAATCACAGAAAAGTTCTTAATTTAGTACCAAAAAAATTATTCATTACTATTTCAAAATGCTTTAATTTATCATTTTAATTTCTTTTTTGAAATGCTTAAAATCACAAAAATGAAAACACATCCATGAAAAATAATCCATTCTAGAAATAAAATATAAAACACGACAAGAGAGGAAATACTTACGAAGGTATGAGAGGCTGACCTATGCCTGCACCACTCAATGGCCGTGGAGGTGCATTTGGAGGTGGCATGCGGTTACTTGCAGGTGGAGGCCCTGGGGGTTGTCGATTAGTCAATGGGGGTGGAGGTGGCGCACGACCACCACCAGGATTTCTTCTACTCCCACCAGGAGAAGGAGATGAAGGCCTTAAGTTATAAAAACAGTTGAGATAAAACTTCTTTAAAAAGTTGCAATAATATTCATTAACGAACAGAAACAACTATGAAACAGAAGCAGTAGAAACAAACGCCTATACCAAGAAATGATACAATTTTTATTATGTGTGGTTATTACAAATGGTTCAACAGATTGTGAAATTCTACAGCTTCTAAGTTATGAACCGCATTAGCTCACGCGAATCATGTAATGATAAAGAATATTTCAGATAATATGCATCTATAAATGACTTTGAAGGGAACATTTAGAGCTAGTGACACTGGATATTTCCATTCGTTATTTGAAATAACAAATAAGGTAAATAAGGTATTTTTACCGCAACGGTTATGAGTTACATGGACTTTACAGTACTAATTTCAAGATCTGGAACCATTAGGGTTTTGGCAATTCCAAATTTTGGAAATTTCCATATTTTTTACCATTAATTCAAATTTACTAAGATGAAATGTAGAAATTATAAAATTAAAGATATGAAATAGTTGTTTATGAAATAATAAAGCATTTATGATCACGAAATCAAAATCTTAAAAATAAATAAATAAATAACTGAAAGGTTTCACATTTTAAATTACGTCTAAAGGGGCCTTTTTTTTAACGTTTCGTGTGTTACCTTTATTTCTTAAATATCATATTCTTCACACTTAAATCATAAGATTCAGTTCAGCGGCAATATCGCAAAATAACTTTAAAATGAGCATATCTTTAGAATTTCCAATACACAGTTCCACTTGCTGGAGATAAAAGGTCTGCTTATTTTGCTGTTGATTAATTCTAACAATGTTGCCAATAATGGATAAAAGTGACATTACAACACATTCATAAGAACTAAGACTTCTATAAAAGAAAAGCATTTGCCGTAATTTTTAAGCAACAAAATTATACTACTATTTTACATCTTTAACTAGTTACAAAAAATTTTTCTAATCTAATTTCAATAATCATTAAAAACATGGTGTGCATAATGCAGTGAAAGTAGGCATTAGTAGGCAGGGCTTATATAAAAGCAGCTGAAGCAACAGTTTCATATCTTAACATCTTTCCAAAATACCAAAAATGCACATTTAGTGTTTATAAATTTCAAGTTATGTTCTTAAAATTTTAATATTTTTTAAATTCTAATTTAATATTTTACGAGAGTTTATCTAAGTCCAGTTAACATAAGCATGAGGTGTGGTCAATAAAAAAGCCACAGCAAAGGGTGTCTGATATAGTGATACTGGAAGTGAGGAGGAATTGCTTAAAATTGGAAGTGTGTGTGTGTGTATTTAATTATGGCAAAGCACACTAGGGCTATCTACCTAAGGGAAGGGATGCCTTTCGTGGAGGACTTTCTAAGGGAAACTGGCTCGTATACACGTTACACATGGGGAAAACCACGAAAACGCCCATGCAGCCAGCCCGTTCGCGGGATTCGAACCTCGGACCGAACTACCAGTGTTCAGTGACTTTACCGCTCAGCCGCTGGTGGGCCTCCTTAAAATTGGAAGAATGCATCAGCTCTCTTTTATTACATGCCTAATAAGAACTTTGCTTTGGTTTTATGTAACCTTGATCCTGATGGCTAGGTTTTATCTGGAAGTCAAACACTAACTGCTCTCTTTATGTTTTTGTCTACCATCTTGGAGAGGAGGATTAAAATTAGTGACCTACTTTGAGCAAAACGGTTACAAGTTTCAAAATTGCAGAACTGGTTACATTAATGTACATACTCAAAACCTGAAAAAAACAGTGGAATTTGTCCAAATGGTGCAATAAAAGTCATCGCAGAATAACACATCAATTAGAGTAGTTAGTACATCAGTTCACATCATATTCAAGTGAAATTATAAGGCAACGAGTTCATAAAGAAGATTATAGTTTTGTTGCTATTTATTGAGGATTTTTGACCACTAGAATGATTAGTGCTAGTTTCAAAGAACTTTTTTTGTCAGATGATCTCAAAGCACAAGCTCCTAGTTATTTGGTTTTTTTATATGCCGGTTATTATCTAATTAAATTTAAAGAATCTTTTATTATCTAAATAAATAAATAGCAATCTCTTCCTTCAAACTTTCACCAGATCTGCTGGTGCAGTTTCGGCAGGACCTCCAGCTTTCATGGCTGATGGGAAAGTAAGTACCTTGGAAAATTTTACATTCTGCTTGTAACATTAAAGACACTTCAAACTCCTGACTATCATCATCATCATGAAATATGGTAGTGGGCCATAAAATTATATGCCAAGGATTTTTGAAAATCAGCTGCAGACATCTTATCACCTTACAATGTTCCACACAGCAGATTTAATACTAAAATATTTCAAAAATTCTTAAATTGTCTTTCGGGTGTTCAGAAAATTTATCATGGATTTTAAGTAGGCTACTTTATATCTGCATTTCAGTGTGTGCAGCAGTCTGACATCCATTGACTGAATAATGAATGTACAACTGGGCTGAAAGAATAAAACAAAGAAGTTATTTTTTACTAAAACTTTAAGTGAAGTATGAGCTGAACAGTTGTCTATGTAGAGAAATGTGATGTCATACGGCAATAGCAGCACCCTCACCTGAAGTAAAAGTTAGTTAGATGTTAGATGCTAGACGGGAATGGCGCATTAATACCCTTTGATTTGTAGAATTTCCTATATGTTGATTAATTAACTGTACATGTTGTAAATAAATATTTAACTTAGCCTTGCTTTGAGTTAATCATAGATATACATATGATGTTCTTCATATAGAAACATAGATTTTAGGTATGGTAGACGTTTCGACTTAGAATAAAACCCCTCTAGCAACAGTCTATTATCTACAATGTTTGATCACACAATAAATTAAATGATTTCAAATGCTACTGAGCCCAAAGTATAAAATGATTTTCAAATCAGTTGTTCATTACAATTTGTGTCATCCATACTCTTTATTTTAATGATAGACAACAGAGAAAATCTTTATTCCTTTAAATGCCTGAGATTTCGTAATTTTCCCGATATAAAAGATTTCTGCAAAGGTTACCAGGGTATTTTCATGGCAAATATTGCACCCCCCAAAAAAAAAAGTTTTGTCAAGGTTATAAATTAGTTCTAGAGATAACTTTTTGCAATTAACGAATTTGATTAATTCATCTGCAGATCGTTTGGTTGCTTCAGTATAAGCTTTTTATTTTGAAATTTTTAATTGCCTTAACCATGGGGATTTTCAAATTTGACTAACCAACCTGTTGAATATATGCACTCAGTTTTTGTCTATTTCCTTATGATATATTACGGGCTTGAGCCATTAGCATTAGATGGGACAATCACAATGGCAAACCCTTGCTGTGATGTTGTGTCATCCATTTAATCATCATGTCGTTGTGATTGCCAGTGATTGATTTAGAACAATAAATGATTTTTCTGTCATTCATTGCTAATGGCACGTTGAAATCTGCAAAAAATTCAAAAGCTTCCATTGTCTGTTTCATATGTTGTATATATTTCCAGTGTTATACTCATGCAATTTTGAAATTAATATGTCTCTGTTAATTTTCTGCAGCAATTCCACTCTTTACTTGACTTACATTGAAACATTCTTTCGATTTGCATATCTTGCTGTAGCTCCAGAATTAGAAACTCTTTTCGACATAATAAAAAATTCAGACTTTAGTTTGGCAGGTTATTATTATTACAACTATAACACTAATTATTATATTTGTAATAACAATAATCTGTCAAATAAATAAATAATAATAACAAACTAAATTAAATTAGAAATTTAAGGAAGCGTACAATTTGCTATGTTTATGTTAAAACTGAATTTTAAGTCCTCAGAATTTAATTCTTTCTCCCTTCACTGCTGCTTTACCAACAAACGAATACGCAACATCCACAAAATGATCGTTACAACAGAATGTGTTCATCCATCTTTTCGAACAACAATCTCTCTCTTGTTGCCATTCCGTAAGAAAGAAACTTACCTCTCATGAAGTTTGATTAGGGTGCGACATTCTCCCCACCTTGAGTTTGGGGATACAAACACAAAACAGTAACATAATGATAACACATACATACAATTTGAGATAACAATAATGTACAAATAATAATAGAAATATTTCAAAATATTAGAATGCAAATTGAAATCAATATTTTAGAGTTCAAACACAGAAAGTTCAAAAGTTTGTTTAGAAGTTTATAAATCCAGTCTTTTAACTGGTTTTCTTTTTCGTCCTGAGCGAGACATGCGAACAGTTTAATTAGAGTCAGTATTAAGCTCAGGATTTTCAGCTACCACTTTCATAACCTTCTGAAGTTCCGATACAACTTGCTCGTAATTTGGTGTCAATTCCAAAGGATACAGTCGTTGAATTGGTCTCATATGTTTTACTTTTCAGTTTGTAGTTTCACAAGTCTGATGATTCCATCTTTTCTTGGAAAGAGTTCCAGTACTCTCCCTAGCAACCAATGGAGTCTTTTTTTTATCACTTGTACCAATTAACATGATGTCACCTACATGTATTTTATCTTCTCTTTTGTTAAGTGAAGAACGAAGGAAACCCATATACTCCCTTTTAAACCTTCGTTTTAGATCTTCACGAACCTTTTGAGTATGTCTCCATCTCAAAACAATATTAGTCTTTTCAATTTGATTCAAATCAGGAACATCATTTAATGGAATGTCCTGAAGAAACATTGAGGGGGTCAGGGTGTTCAGATCTTGTTCCTCGGATATGTAAGTTAATCGTCTGCTGTTCATGACAGATTCACATTCACAGACAGAGTCTGCAATTTCTCGTAAGACAAACAGGAACGCCCAAGATTTTTTCTTAAAAGATCTTTCAAAATCCCAATGAAGCGTTCCCAGAAGCCTCCCCACCATGGAGAGGGTGGGTTAAACTTCCAACGAATTTCGTTGACTCTAAATTCACTTTCAATTGTAGTCCAATCTAATTGTTTCAGAGCATTGTGTAGTCCTGTAAAATTAGTATCATTGTCTGAATACATCACAGGAATTTG